ATTGGCTGTGTAAAATAGTTTTGTAATATATAGGTCGGTTTTTTTTGCAATTTCAGAAGGCCTTTTAGGAGGTTAGCACATGGAGGATAATAGAATATATCTATAGTGCAACGTACCCAGCACTATGCAGTGTTCTTTATATCGTGCAGTATCAAGGTTATGATGCATTGGATCCCTATTAATGTTGACTATTAATTAATGGAATCGCGTGTGTCAAATCGGTGTCTTCCTATTCGTATATACAGGGTGTTTCAAAGAGACTGACCCAATTTCAAAGCAGTATATTTCACGATGGCAACATGTTACAATTACACAAAAAGTCAAACGGTTTAATGAGTTATCAAGTTTTACTAACCATTTTATAAATGCTTTATGTGCCCTCCACCTGCTGTACGGTCAACATCGAGACGATAGTTGAATTCGTCCCAAACGCCTCTCAAAGTGTCTTCTTCCACTGAAGTCACCGCTGCCGTGATTCTGTTTTTGAGGTCATCCAGATTAGTCGCTAATGGTGGCACAAAAACACAGTCTTTGACGTATCCCCACAAAAAAAAGTCGCAGGGTGTGATGTCTGGGGATCTTGGGGGCCAAGAGTGTAGCACCAAGTCTTGGGGTCCTGTGCGACCTATCCAACGTTGAGGCAGTGTGTCTTGCGAATGACTGAGGCTTGGGGCTGTTTGTGCGCTGGGAGAGGCATCTCACGGTAATCATTGTGAAACTCTATGCCCCGCCCTCTCTATGCCCCGCACTCTCTATGCCCCGCCCTCTCTACGCCCCTCTCTATGCCCCGCCCTCTCTCTATGCCCCGCCCTTTCAAGTGGTAAGAGTTTCATTCATGGGCGGTTCGTGGTTGTAGAGATATAGCGATTTAAATCGGGTCCATCTTTTTGAAACACCCTATATAGTATGTAAAGTATTTAAATCACCCCTTGCAAGCAATTCATGATAGGTGCAACCCTTCACTGCAATGTTAAAAAATATTTTCTTGAGTTGAATCGTAACGCTGAATTGTGACAATTCATAGAATTTCCGAAGGGAAGGTTGTGGGGAGGCAGGGGTGAATTGTTAGAGCCCTCGTGTGTATACGGTAACTTTTAAACACCATATGTTTGTGTTTAAAGGTACTCTAAAAGCACAAGTGGAAATTGTGATATTGTCAACTTGGTAAAACTAGCTACCCACATCAAGACAATCCAGCCACCCTGATTAAATATACAGCACCTTATGCGTTCGAGAGCTGGTTTCTAACTAAGCAATTTGAAAATAAATTGTAGGCATTTGAGCACAGGTGTCTTGAGACAATTGCTAGGGATATCATGGCAAGCTAGGATAAGCCACGTGGAAGTTTGGAAGAGAGCATGGCAGGGAAGTGTTGTCGATATGATATGATAGGATAAAATACAGCACTGGGTAAGACATGTTACAGAGACAGGTATTTGGAGTGTCTCCACCGGGCCAGTGGCCAAAGGTAGCAGAGCAGATGTTGGGGATCCTGCTCGAGCAGATCTTTGAGGTCGCGTGTCAACTGTGCTTCATCTCCAGGATCTGGCAGAGGCTAGAAATTGTTGAAAGGGTGTGGTGATATCAAAATGTTACCTCATGATATAATTGTGCAACATTGGTCGAGCTATTTTTAATGTTGAATTGCATTTGTGTTTTTTTTATAAAACACTTATTTTAGTCCGAGCTCTAGGAGTTTTAATGGATGAGCCACGTCAATTGTGAATGGAGACTGGAAGTTTGACTGCGTTGTCAATGTTAAGTGACCATGGCTATGCTGTTAAGCACCGATGCTTTTACCAACATACAAATCCAAACACTCGTCTCTTTATCTTCACATACAAATGTAGTTGAATGTAGTTGTAACCAAATAGATTAGTCAAGAGAATGAGATGGCTTAGCAAAAAGGAGTTGTCTGTTTATTACGAGTTCAGCACGTTCTGATTTAATTGTACTAACATCAGATTTTATGGTGGGGGTTTTAAAACTTAAAAGCACTTAACTTGTATCCCCTTGTTTAGCTTATCATACATATATACGGCACTTTATCGAAACACTGCTGGATAAGGCATTGCCCATGCCGTACCAATCGTTGGGTTATTTGACCATAAGACACTAGTTGTGTGGGAGCATAAAAATAGAGTCCAACAATGGGATTTTCTGAATTGTTTTCTGCTGCTCACCATGTAGTCCGACAGCTCTACGACAACCTGGTTCATGCAGTGGTTGCCAATTTAAGCACTCTCCAGGTTCAAGACTGCTTAGCCTTTGGGATTGATCAACATCGGGTGCATGTTGGATATATAGGTGGCTAATATGTATGTATGTCCAGAGATTGCCTCCTTCACAGCTCCACCTGTTGCAACAAATGGTGTGTCATTTGAAAGCTGATATGTAGTTAATGAGAATGAGGTCGAAATGTTGAATGTTTCTTCACATGACCAAATAATTCAGATTATCAGTCCAGGTACTGATTATCCTCTCCACAATAGTGCTGTGTGTGATGAAAACTGAATTTGAAATCATATAGTGGATAAGCATGTGCAATTTGGTAGGCATCGGTATGGGGGGAGCTTGAGGGGGTGGGGGGGCTGGGATTATATATCCACGAGCTCTCAATGTAATTTTTTTTATTACAGAATCTCAATGGGAGCCCTTCTATATAGGCAAAAAAAACAAATGAACACTCATTTGTAGCAAGGCGTGTGTAGTCCTGACATTGTGCAACGAATTACTACAGATTAGGGCATTGTACTCAACCTTGGTTACCCCAAACTCCATACCTCAGCTCTTTGGGATTCATTCATTTACTCGTGTAATTACAGCTGACAATATTATTTATTTTATTGTTCGCATGGAGATAGCTTTCGTTTCCCAACAACTGCTGCATAGAACACAATGTCACTTTCAAAAGGAGATTTTTTTTGTTTGTTTTCCTATTCAGTGGAAATATAAACTAGAAAATTCATGGAATGCACCCAGTTATTTTAAATACATATATTGACAGAGAAGACAGCAGGGTTTAAGTGGGGACATTATACGCAAAAAATAATAATACAGTATCCCATATTAGATTGTGCCATCCGAGAGGCAATGTAATTTCTTTTCATAAGACGGAAAGTGCCTACGACGAGTTTATTGAATAAGTATCGATCGGACCCTTACAGATGCTCTACACAAAACAAATCGGCAAGTTAGTAAACCTTAAGCCAGTGTCCACTTGGGTTGCACAATGCTGAATGTAATCATCCATGGAGTATTGCCTGCTGATTATTTTATTGTCATTTTTCTGCGGTGGCCGAATTCATCACACAGCACTGTGAGAGCATCTCTGTTCAGGACACGCAAAGCTGCCAATAGCAATCCGTGGAGCGTTTTACTTCTGCTACTCAGCCTATTTTGTTACCATCGATCCACCTTTAATAACACCAGCAGTGGGACAATAACAAAAAAAAACCACCGTTTACCGTGATCCAAATAAATTGATGAACACCTTAATAACTGTGGTGAAGGTGGCAATTTTTTATGTTCTCGGTGTGTTTTTTTTGCTTGTTATTACAAACTGTCCGCAAGCCGCAGCTGTGCAGAATGGACCGACTGAGATGATGGACAGCCAGGCTCGCAGTGATGGGATGTAGGGTGCAGTGTGCTCGAAATACTAGAGCCACATCTCCAAGAGAATCACAAAACAAGTCTTTTTTTTTGTAGAATACAAACCATTTGCGTGACTCTCCTTTGTAAACACTCGCGTTAGTTCACGTGTGTTTTGAGGAACAAATCATGGCTGAAAGACTAGAAAAACACGCCCCATTAATTGAACAACAAAATAAAATGATGTAAATAAACAAATACTGTGGCTAAAATTGCATTGTCTGATTTTGAGCGCCGAATGAAAAATTAAATAGCTCGCAAGCTCATATGAGTTAGCATGCTGTATTATGCGCAGTGGCAAAAAGAACAAAGATGTGCGTTTATGGGAATTCAACAAATTGACAAATTAACAGCTTTAAGTCCTTTTTTAAAATTCACTGTTAAAAACCTCTGCGGCACATTTTCCCCCTTTTTTCCCAGGGCCAGCTGCACGGTGTACGTATAGATCTTTTTATCCCCACATTGCAATGAATTATTAATTAGATATTAGCAGAGAGAAGTGGTAATTGATTTATTGATGAAAGAGGGTTAGCCCTCCATTTTGGCCCGCACTCAGACTGATGTAAATGAGGCGGACTGGCGGAGAAAATTAGGGTCCTGGGGTCAACGCCAATACATTACATCTCCTTTGGTGCCTGTCGGACAACTTTGTTATTGCTCTTGGAGTTGAGGCCCTGGTGTTTGTATCATACTTATCATTAGAGTTCTGAGTTCTCAGAGCACAACATTATAGGATTAAGTCATTTATGTTTACAGAGCAAGCAACATCTTCTCGGGCTTGTAGTGTATTAAAATAGAGGTTTTATTTTCTAATGAAGACACAAACTTGGTATATATTCTTAATCATTTAATTTACATTTACCGCTCATTGAGCTTTAGAAAACTAAAAAAATTGTAGTGCTGCTGGCATAAATCATCCCAAGAGTAAGCATGCAATAATGCCCAGGGCAGATAGCAGACCCTATTGGAAGAAATCTGTCACGTTTGGGGCAATGATATACTACATACGTTATGTTATTGATGAGCAATGGAGTATAAAAATTAATGATTTTAAATAAATTGATGTTTCCACCTAAGTCACAGATTATCTGCTATACATAGTAACCTTGTTGTAACAATTTAGATTTTGTTATGACCATAAAAGTTCAAACATACATTTGCAAATGTATTTTTGTATGAGAACATACAAGGCATACAAGGTATGTTCTCATACGAAACATAAGGTATGTTCTCCGCAAATGACTATAATTCTTAAACGCATTATGCACTCTGGAATTGGGTTCCTTAGATCCAGCGCTTGCGTAACTGTGACATTTATGCTTTAAACACACCCTCCTGCTGTCACGCAGGGAATGCGCTTGCCAGATAAAGTACCCGCGACTATGCATGCAAACACGAGTGACTTGCACTTCCAAGTTCAAGTTTCACGGGTTTTACAAGCGTCGCAAATTACTGATGCTCACTCAGTACGACATTGAGCGGCGACGGCAATACACTATGATGGTTTGTATTGTAGAATTTTAAATGCTGGAGAAGCATTCTAAAGTCATGGTCATTTTCTAATTTGTCTCAATCCACACGATATAGTGTATTGACATGCTTACCAATTGCTGTTAGGTTGAACATTCAATCTGGCCAAGATAATATCTGCTCATCTTGTGATAAGACCATATTAAAATCCTCGTCCACATGCTGAGAGAAGCATTTAAAAGCATGTATGTGTCCCACATAGCTTGGCGATGTACATATAGAATGTGTGGAAATTAACAGCTCACGATGTGTTACGTTTTATGAAAAGATTAGTAAACAAAAATCGTAGTAGTTGAAATTTCCTGAGTAAATGCATTTTCATCTGTAAACTGTTCACATGGTCATTTGAACACAGATGGTATTTCCAGTTGATGAGTTTTGCATTCTTAATTAATTTATGATGATTGATGTACATCGGTGTGTCTTGCAGCTCGACTAAATCTGTGTGTCGGTACGGAGTAGTAACTTTCCTATCATGCCTCTCAAGAGTGCTAGACTTTAACATTTTAATTGTATCGAGTTTTTTTTAAAGAAAGATGACAGCCCTGAAAGCATTTTTTAAATTGTGTTAAAGGCCATTTCATTTCTTTTGATACCCGTGGTGATACTTTATTAAGCTACTAACTAGGACGGAAGCTGTAATATTTACGAAAAAATTGAGCAGAGTATAATTGTATCTTGTGTAAATTAATGGCAGTGAATCTTGCACGAAAGTATGTCATCAAACACTTCACTGCATTTCACTGTAGCACTGTATTAATGGCAGTGAATCTGGCACAAAACAAGTCATAAAACACCTCACTTCATGTCACTGTAGCACTGTATATAACTGACCTTCAATTTGTTCAAATTCACTGCTCTGATACTTTATTCTCTTTGCTTTCGGTCGCTGGGTTGAAATAAATTGGAATTCGATACAATATCTGGAAAATCACCGAGAAATGTCTATTTTACCATAATGTCGAAGCATAAATTAGAATTACCTTTTGTCGCAAGTGCTGAAGAAATAAATAAAACAGCAAATCGTATAATTATTTATTAGATTAACTTTCAATAAAGAAACGTCAAACTTAAAGCGAATTTGCAAAAAAAAATGTTTCCGCTCGACCTTCTGCGTGAGTGTAAAATCCACCCGCTCATGAATATTAATGACGGGGGGTGCGGCATGTGGAGTGACGTCACGCGCGTTACACACAAACAGACATTCTTGGCTCATTATAGTAGTAATTATAAACTAGGAAATGATTTAACATCTGGAGAAAGGATCACTTAGTTGTTGATCAATTATGGTGTATTTTTCTCCAAAGCAATTGACTGAAATATGACATGCCCGGAGCTGTTGAAATCGCGCAATCGGCGAAATGCCTACAGTTATTTCAGAGAGAATGAGGAACTTTGTTTCCACATGAAAGCGTTTGAAAGAGAAACGATAGCTTCTTAATAATCAAACACGTAAATTTCAAATAAAATGTTAAGTATGGCTTTGTGCGCAATTAATGGGGAATAAAAAAAAATTACTCGGCAGTTATTTTATTTTAAAAAAGGTCAGCCATGGCTAAGCCTCTTGACGATCCAACTGTCAGAGATTCTGCAAGTAGATTCTGACCTCAGTCAGCTGTCTGTTCGTTAATTGCTTGACATTTCCTCATTTAAAGAAAAACCTTCATCTAACAAGCGGAGCACAAAGACCGTCTTGCTCGTGTGCTCGATTGATTTGGTGTACGCAGCGAGACTTCATAGACGTGTCACAGTAAATTACACAGTCTTCCAAACAAAAAAGCTCAGGTGGCACAAAGATACCTAATTTACTTAAATTCCACTACATTTATCTCGTTAGTGTGAAATGGAAAAAGAACAAACAAGATACAGATTTCAACAATGCTGCACACTGAATTTCAGAAGCTGTAAAGATAGTTTTTGTACATTTGGGAAAAGGCTGTGTTTAAAAGCACTGTGCTTAATTTTTTTTTTATCTATTTGGCTCTTTTTTTTTGCTTTGCTACCAGTCTCTATGGATTATGTAAATTGTCAACTCATTTAATAACAAGCCTTTTAGAGTATAATTTAACTTTACGAATACAAATAATTCCTCATTTGTATTTATGAGACGCTGAATGAAAATCACATTTAGGTTTAAGCAATAAAAGTGTTCCTTAAAAAACTATTTTTTATCATTTATCCTGGCACTGTGATACATTATACAGTACCTGATAAGTCCAAGTATTAAAATGCATTTTCCACAAAGCAATGAAATGTCAAGCATATAAAATGATTATTCTCATTTTGACATTGCAGAAATACAATGATTGTGCCATTTTACATAATATTTACAGAACTATTATTAAGATGATGGTAATGTTAACCTATATGAACTTGACTTTAATTATACCTTCCTAGTTCTTTTACATGCATAATAGCTAAGTGAAATTAACATTTACATTAACTTTGCATATAAATGATATCTAAAACTCGATGTAGGACCACAAATACTGTACAACGACAGTATTTAAAAAATATGACACGTTTTTTTTCAGGAGCTGCATGGCATGGTAAAAAAAAATCTAATTCAGATACAGAAAGCAGTCCGCATCAACGTAATTTTCCACATTTTCTTCCATCCCATCATTATGCACAAAACAGTAGTGTATTAAAGGACTCCAAAACACAGTAGGCATGAAATGTGCCATTCTCCATGCATACAATAAACAATACAACACACAAATATCACCGCTGGTTGCTTTGCAATGTTCTTGAAGCAAGCCTCCATTTGTAGCGGAGGTGTGCAGATCAGAAACGGTGGTGGTGGTGGAGGAGTATCCCTCGATAAAGGATCGCGTGTCGGACCTCGAGAAGAGCTAGCTGGCCCGCACCATCGCATGCCTAATTACAGTGCATGGGACTTTTTCCTTTTTTAATTTACAGGACATTGATCCATGATTCATCAGGCAAATTAATGCATCCCATGTATCTACGTCAGTAATGAAACAAGGCCGACTATTACGTGCGAGCAGGAGGCAGAAGTGGGTGCCGTGTGCGCCCGATGATAGATGGTTCTGGAAGGCAGCTCACGTCGCCTTTTAGGCCAGCTGTGGTTTTGCTAATAGATGAGTTATTTTCAGATCATTGCAGATGATTAATTTAATTAAATATGCATTACACATTTTTACAGTAACAAACTAGCTGAACTGCGTGTATGAAAAAAACCGAGGGTCTTTGGAAATGCCGAACGTATTTCGTATCGACGGAGGCAAAATATAAACGTGGTGTCTTCAGGATGAAAACGATAGAATGTCAGGAATTTCAGGGCATGTTAGGCATTGATTGATATGGATCGAAGCACGTTCAACCTACGAATGCTATAAAGTGGGCTAAAATATTATAATTTGCCATAATTCAGGGGGGGGGGTCTAGATATAGCCTCACTCAATTTTACGTGTAATAGTATTTCCTAAGGTAGTTTTTTAGAATTTGGAACTTTTCTGATTTTATTCAAAGATTGTGCCATTGTGCTTTTCCAATTTGATCAAACAAATGTAGTGCCTTCTGTTTTCCATATTTAAATCATGCATATACCAACCTTTGCAGTTAAATATTTTTAAAACAAGTTATCATTTACTCCTAAATGATATGTAAATATATTAAATGGTGTATTGTGGTTATACACTATACATGTTTAAAGTTCTTGAAGTCAAATGTGGCATTTCTGCAAAAGTCACTAATATTTTATTTTGAAAGTAACTCTTAATCGATTCTGAAGGTTGTGCTTTTTTGAACAAATAAATACCAAGAAATGCTAAGGTCAAAAAGAAATAGTACAAAATATTAGACATTGGATATAAAATTGAATTCCTGTGTTTCAATTACTGTGGGGAAATAAGAATGCATTTTATATTTATAAGCTTAGTATTGTAACTAATTGAACATCATCAATACTGCCCTGTCAGAATTCTTTCCATTTGATGTAAAATTATAACATTTTGGAGATAGTGTATATGCACATTTATCAGACGTGTCAAGGGCACGAGAACTGCTGGAATGCCTTGTGTTGTTCTTGTTACCTGCATGACTTTACTGTACCCTCTGCAGTTATTTGTTTCTCACTGGCTATGAGAGATTTGAGTTGGAATTTAGATGAAAATAAGAAAGTGCCATTAATATTCAAAGTCAAAGTATCTCCCCGTTCAAACGGTGTTCATCTCCATTGGTGGACCAGGACCACTTGTGATAATTCCACATTCCTATAACAGAGGGCCATTCTTTCCATATGCAAGTCATTGTTGAGTTTCCACCAAGATGTAATCATGACAATGTGCTGAACCAATACGTTGGCATGATTGGTATAGCTTAGTTTCTTGACCTTAGTTTGTTTCCCTGGATGTGCTCAACATTCAAAGAACCAAGTTATGTAATCTTAAAAGAAATAATGAAAAAAGTTAATTGTATAGGCCTCAGGAGAGCAATCCAAGAGTAAATAATTGTCTAAGTGCAATACAAATTTATCTATTTGACTTGCAGTGATTTAACAGGTGTAGCTTTATGAACACATCACACATTGATAGTTAATACTGCCTTGTTTTCACTTAAAATGTATTAACAATCTTGTTCTATTCCTCGAATACCTGGAAAAGTGAGGTATGATTGTGGTGTAAACCAATGAAATTGTACTCGTGTGACTTTTAATTAACAAAACATTTGAATTCAAATGCTCTGGATTTCCACTCTCATAGCATTGTCATTTCACATTACAGCACTTTGCATTCACCTTACAAGCATTACAGAACAGCAAAGTGAGGTGTGATATTTTAGTAGTAGCACATGCATTTAAATTTGCCTTTTGTGTGTGCTGCAGAATGGGATGACGAGCCAGCTGCATCTGCCACAGCCAAGGCTGATGGCCTCTGCCTCAGAGTTGTCCCTCTCTAAGAGCCCTTCTCTGACCAGCCAGGTCCACGCTGCCGCCATCAATGGGATCGCTCCGCACTGCAAAAGATTGTTGCAGGTAAGGATAAGGATTTGCATTTATAGAGTGCTTAAATACTCCGGCAACTCCAAGCATGTTCCTGATATTAAATCTCATCTTAACCATTTCATTGCCCTGCTGCAGTCTAGTCAAGGGGACATCCAGTGGGAGCTGTCCTGCGTGACAATGTCTTGACATTACCAACTGTCTACAGTAAATGGGCATTAGTCTTCCAAGTGGGGGGTGATGTCACGGTGTTTTTTTCCCAATTAAGATAATATGCGAGTAATTGATCAAACATGGACTATGACACCTGCCACGCATAGCCTACTCTTTTTCAAATTTTGTCACGGTATCTTTAACGTCCACCGTGAAGCAGACGCCGCATATTTGAATCGTTAATACACCCACAGTATTAACCAGGACAGCCACTGTGCTTGTACCATTAACCTCTGCAACAAACAGCAAACATGCTACCACTCAGCCATGTCACCGCCTCAAATCTTCCCCTTGTGCGCCTTATGACACAAAAGCCCTATAAAAGTGTGGTGGTCAAGGTTGACACCAAGGTTGACACAGGTCACACAGGTCACACAAGCTAGGGGAGAGGTACGTACCGGTCTGGACCGGCCCGGATTGACAGGGACGAGAGGTGGTTGGAACGGCTCTGAGGGAGGGGGCTGCGAGAGCCAGGGCCCGAGACATATATAAGACGGCTCCCGGAGAGCGGAGGGGTCGATCGGAGGAGAAGCTGAAGGAGGAGAGCCGGAGATCCTGGACCCCCAAGCCTCAAGGATGCCGCCCCGCTGGAACTGAGTGGGCTGAGTAGCTGTAGGCTAGGGACGAGAGTAGCTGAGTAGCTGTAGGCTAGGGAAGAGAGTAACAGAGTAGCTGGAGGCTAGGGAAGGAGAGAAATGAGAATAGAGCCGGAGGCTGTACCTCCCTAGGTTGTGTGTGTGGGACTGTTTCCCCAGTGAGTCCTGAGGACTAGTGTTATCGGAATAAAAGCGTGTGGCCTCTACAAAGTGTCGGTCTCATTCAAGAATACTACAAAAGTAACGCTCTTATTCAGCCCTTTGTAAATCCACAGCTAGACGAGGGCCTCCCATGCCATATCAGTCATGGGGGTTGTTTGACCTTGTTTCACTATGCTGGTCAGGCAGGTTTTATAAGGGGGCACACCCTGGTGGACCGGTTCCGATATCACTCACTACTACTGACGTCAGCTTTTTCTGGGAATTGAACTCAGGTCACTGGGGTTAAAGTGCAGTGCACGAACCACTGCGCCACCACTCCCTCCAAATTACATGTAGATCACCTGAATAGGCTCTGTGCAAATAAATAAATAGTCACATAAAAAGGCGCAATAAGGAATTGACAATACATTGCAAGAAAGCCCATCCTGAGAATCGGTGGCAGATTTAATGGGTGAACAAAGAACGATTACTAGCAATTCTGTGAAAATATGGTATATAGTAGGTGCCCAATTCATTTCAGCGTACGTCCACGCCAGAGACAGAGCTCGTGTGCAGGCGCTAGGTGGATATTACATAGCAGGACCATGAGATGGCAATGGCTTAGGGTGGCCTTCATCTAGCAGTGGATTGATCACGGCTGATGATTATGAACTCATTTGAGGTTTATGGACTAGATTATCTTCATTGAGGAATACCCCATGTCCGTCTTGTAATTGGTCGGTATGTACATTTGCAGATTCTTCCAATTGGAATAACATGTTCATACAAAGCCAAGATCCATCATCTTTGTTAAGCACGGCAGTTAACAAGATATCCATTTCAATTTTGAACTGAAATTAATTAACAATCTACATTAGAGATGTGAAAAAAATTATTATATTCAGATGTGTGCTTATTTTTTTGGCAGCATTAATTTTTGCTTTATTAGTTTCAATCCCTTGATTACATAGTCTTTTCTTTTACAAATGTTATTTCAAAGAATGCAAATTAAGAGTATCGCTGAATACACTTTTTAATTCTGCGAGGTGAATCGTACATCATGATGATGAATCGTACAAAGAAGCGATTGGCAAACATGGGCATGCCCTATAACCCAGCTTCAGTAAAAGCTATTGTATGGGACACATTATATGAAACATTGCTTACGTTAAAAACCACAGCCAATAAAACATGCGTGTTTGAGTTTGCCTCTTGGGAGTGATGTGTTACGGTATCAGGTTATATTTATGCATAAAGCAAAGCCTGCTTTTCATAGCATTATGGCATCCAAATGTCTTTCATTGTATGGTCTTTTTCCATCATAAATGGTGGCTTGTATTCACACAGTAATGTGTGCATTTTTGTCTATAATGGAGATGTAATAAGGGCTCCATAAACCCAGCAATAACTGCAATGAACTTGCGGGGTAAATGTGAGTTTCTCACAGAAGCGTTTAAGCGTACAGCAGCTTCCTTCTCTTTTCATATTACAGCTGGGAAAGGATTGACCTAATGTTACCAGAGAGGTTAATTATGCTTTTACTGCTGCCGCTTGTAGTCTGGGGAACTGATGAAAAAATTAATGATGGTTTTGCTAATTTGCTAATCAGATCCCTAATCTGAAATTTTTAAGGTTAATTTGACATTAATTAGGAATCAGATGTGATAAAAATGAAAATGCTTCCTCTCTGGCAGGGACTTCCTCTTCCATGTAGCAATGGTCGTCTATCGGTGCATCACAGTGTGTAACAAAAATGTGGTTTATAAAAAAAAAAAGTATTGGCTGCGATATCTGCTGCACTTATTGCAAGCACTGCGATTAGCCACTTTTAAGGGATTCCAGTTGACACCATTACGGTTATCATAAAAGAAAAACTGGGCCATTCCTAGTCCGTTTTCAAGGCAGAGGGATTATCAGAGTAACATTTATTATGAGATGCTTAAGTCTTATCACACCTAGGCACTAAAGTAAATGCTCTTAGCCATGACATTTTAGTTTACTGATTTGAATATAATTGCCATCGAATCAACAGGCACCTCAGTCAGAGCGAGATGTGGATTTTAGCTAAAGTCAGCCTTGCCTGTACGCGACGTTTCAGATCTGCCCGTGATGCTAGCTGATGTTCACACTGCCTTGCGTATGAGTGTGGGTGTTACTTTTTTAATCGGATACAGACAGGCATGGCGAAGCTGTGCTGTGGTAGATAAGATGACTTTCTGCAGGTGTGGTGGTGCTGTGCTTTTCTGTGCTTTCTGGCTTTCAATGTGGCGGGCAAATTGTATAAGGTATGTGTTTCTGTCTCTGGCTGCATCTTGGTGGGACGTTTTAAGAGGCGTTGTTGCTCCCTGCTTTAATAGTCCTACGGAACAGTAAGTATGGTCATGGAGGAGCAGGTCTGGTTGAGGAAAGTGTATTTCGTATGAGACAATGTCGATGCCTTTCTTGATTATTCTGTAAGCTTGTTTGAAACTTAAAAAATTCAAATATTTGTTAATGTTATGGTATATTTCGTTGTTGATGATTGTGGAGGTTCATTGATTAGAAAATATGATTTTCATCAGAAAGACGGTCTTCAGTTTTCCTTCAGCCTGCTTTCCTTAGCACACAGGGGGTGCCTAGTCATGTACGTGTGAAGGCATTCCTGCTGAAATTAACTCTTTCATATCCTTTTAGCGATTTCCCCCTCTGTTTATCAATTCTATTACCACATAATGCTATTATATTTCCAATGTAACCGTCTAAACTGTTCACAGAAAGAATGTAGTTTGTTTTCCATCATCGAACTTTTATAGGCCAAATTCGACATTCGTAATAATAATATAGAATTTAAGCACTGATATACATAGACGCATACATAATCACAGGGTAGTGGGGAATTATGTCCACTTATTTTCAACCGAAGCTTTTTGTATTCAAAAAATGGTAGTGCCATTACAGGCGTTACAGAACTGTAAATACCATAAGGCCAAAAGCTCACCCGACAGTGATCCTATGAGCTCTCTAAACATAAGAGGAGCCACTGCAGGAAGTCCACTATCTTACTTGGCATTCTCTATACAATATTTGAGTGATATGGTGTCATATTGGGAGGGAGAAAAAAAAAACACTTTTTTTGATCGAGTACATTACCCGTATATATATTTTTTTCAGCGATCACGGTGCAGAAATAAAATGCGATTTTATTATTCCCCTCCAAGGGGCGGTCATAAATTTGGGACAGCAATCGTGTGCGAGTGGGAACATAAGTTGCTATGGGACAGTTTATTTTTAATGCTCTTGAGCCACAGGGGAAAACAATAATGCTATCTCACAGCTGAGTGCGCTGTTTACTGTTGGGTTCCTGGGCTGAACGTGTCAGACAGGCGCAACAGAGAAATGTGTTGGTTATTGCATCCTGCCACCAAGTCCTCGCTTTACAATACATTCTCAAGAACAAGATGTATGTTTGTGGGCCTTAATGTAGTGGCTGCGTCGTGGAATCTGTTAGCAGTTTTCGCTTTGCATTCCCGGTGTAGCTGTGGCCAAGTAAAACGCCTTAAGCCACTTTGGGGCTGTAAAACATGTGACATTTGTATATGTTCTCCTTCATTGTATACGAAGGTAAAATGCTTGCCGTGCAAGTAGCACATGTCTTGTTGTGAACAAAAAAAAAGTTCAGTACATTTGAACATGTTAAGTATATAACCTCGCTCATTTTCATTACCACGCTTGGATTTTATTTGCTATGTAAGTTGTGGTGTCAACCGAAATGTAAACTGTAACTCTTCAACATTTCGAAGTTTATTGCCATTGAGCATTTAAGCTAGTGGCGCCACATAGTGGGAATCTTGTAGATGGAGTTTATCCGTTGCAGATTCATCCTTTGAAAGCAATAAACATTGATATTGCAGCAGTGACCAGAGTGTAGATATAATAAGTCAGATGCAATTTATTGCGTTAAATATTAATTCGCGGCCACTGATGGATGAATTCGCAAAAACATTTAATTTATCACCCTAACATGAGTACAACTTGTGCTGCTGCTGCTGCTGCTGCATTGCTCTTTGCCAGCAAACCCAGAGTTTAGGGATGCTCCGGATCAGTTTGGGCGCACGCCGCTCATGTATTGCGTGCTGGCCGACCGGCCAGAGTGTGCCGAGGCCCTTCTCAAGGCTGGGGCCAACGTCAACAAAACGGACAAGAGCAAGCGCACCGCTCTGCACCTCGCTGCACAAAAGGTACCGCGACCTGCTGACTTAGAAAGTTAAAAAGCCGCGCAGTTCTTGAGTGCACTGGCCGTGTTTATGTTTGGAGACAGTGTGTTGAAATTGGCTAGTGTCTGACCTGGCATGCGACCCTGAGGAACTGTTGAAAAGCCGCTGCAAAGATGTAAAACGTGAATGAGGGGCACTTGCCAGTGCGATCCTGCACTGAAAGGCGCAAGGCGTTGACATTTCTCACGTTTCAGTAAGTGGGACGTCGTCTTGACATTGCTACGTCGCGCTCCCCTCCGCGTGACCTAAGTCAGGCTTTCATAAAGGATCACCGTCACCTTTCACTTGCACGGAGGCTGTCAGGTGAGCAAGGAAGCTCAGGAGTGGAGGAGGAGGCAGCTTGTGGTCTGAAGCGACGTGAGTTATCTGCTCGTGGGATCCTCAGTCCCTCCTGGGTTCACAAGACGAATCGCGTGTCGGCCGATCGGCGGCAGAACTGGGCTTCCCATGGTACATCCAGTGCTCCCTTCTTGCCTCGGCAGGACTGGATATGCTGAACTCTGGTTAAACCCCCGCTCGCTGATGGCTTTTACACCTTGCGGCCAGGGTTACACAGCTATAAATACATCCGAATCCTAAAATAACATGGTTTAAAAAAAAAAACATCTATACTTTAAAAAATATTTGTACAAAATCTAATTTGTATAAAATGACTGCAATATACTGCTGCCTTTGATTTTTCTCCAATTTAAATGGAAACTGTATAAATAACGTTAAGAAAAAAAGGGCAGTTTTAAGCTGGTCAAGGGTGTAATAATTGGCACTTTGATGCCGTTAATGATAATACGTGTTACCCCTTAGGTGTGAAAAAGAAGGAAAAAAACCCATTATTATACCCAGGAGCGCACGTTGTTTATATCGCTATTACTTGTTGTTGCAGTAAATTGCTTTCCACCACCCCTCTCATTCCCCCCCCCCACCTCACCCCACGCGGCTGGCAAAGGCATCCCGCTCTTGGCAGTTTGTGCCTCTCTTCTTGCCTCGTTAGCCCGCCCATGGTCTCTCCAGCCGACCCGGGCGATCAATCGGCCTGGCATTTTCAGACCTCTTTCATCACACGGCCTCGCAGGGGAACAAGGAGGAGCACGAGAGCACACGCTCTCCCTGGCTCTGGCGCTGCCTCTGCCGCGCACCTTGGCTCGCCGCTGCAAGGCAGTGCGACACTCGTGGCAGGCGAGCCGCTGGGAATCATCAATCTGTCATAATGCTATGATTTGTTCTTCCGTCGAGCGTTTAGTAGCTGCTCCTTATCAAAACTGCCCGCCCTCTTGGGCTTCCCAAAACACCGTCTAATTTGAGGGTTTCTGAGGCGGCGCTCCAGCGTTTACAAGATAGTGGGGTGACTGCCCAGACGTGGAATCAATAAACAAGCTCATTTCTATATGTCAAGCACTCAAGTCCTTGTCAGAGGCCTCGTGCTGTAATTGGGGGCCGGGTGCGAGCTGCTGGAGCCGCTTCCTTTGGCAGCCCTCGAGTGGCTTGTCAGCGAGCGCAAGGGGGAACGAGAGAGTGCACATGAGTACTATCACAGCCCGCAATTGATATTGCACTTGTCTTTTGGTTTGTTTGAACCCCGGCCTGCACGCGAGCCCGACGCCTGGGGGAGAGGAAGGAGTTTCTTCACCATGGCCGTTAGACTCAGCTCCTGCTGATTGGATAAACTTGGGATTTGGGGTAGGCTGAGCAACAGAGGCTTTTCTTTATTGGAAATATTGAATTGCTGCACGCGCCGTGACTCCTACTAAAGCGGAGAACTGTTTATTTGAACTCCAGGCAAGGTAGTGTTTCGCACATTTTCTGTTCTTCGAGTACAGCGCTTTGAATGTTGTGTGCGTGCCTATTTAGTCATTAATAATATAACGGTTATTAGTTCTAGGCTGACGGGCTCTGTTAATTTTGTTTTGATTGTTGTGCCCACTTGAATGGCTTCACTCTGAACTGATGGTTCAGTTATTTTCGTGTGAATAGAACAAATAAAATATTGTACATTAACTTTTTAAATGGGAAACCCAATTTTTTTTACGTTGCATCTTCGAGCAAATAGATTTTTAAGGGATTGTCGTCAACAAGACACCATTTAAACACTAGACATTGGCAATGTGTTGCAGTCCCTCAGAATTGCGTAGACCGACCGTGCCCTGCATATAATTTTTTTATTGTTGGGAGAATTCCTGTAATTAGTACAGATATACACAGAAGGACAATCTTACTCCCAAAGATGAAACTTGAATGGTGGGCAGAGCAATTCTGAATTATTAGTTATGTTTCAATGCTGGGTACAAACGTCACGTATCAAGGAGAACCAGGTACTGTACAGTACACCGCACCCCTCCAGACCAAGTAAGTTTCAAAAATATATTTTTAAGTTACTGTACACATTCATTTCATATCATATTTGTGTTTTAATGTACAGTATTACGAACTGTTGAGTCTGCAGAAATAACATTGAAAGCTGTAAATGCGCTAAATGGTGTCTACATGGAAATAAAGGGAGTTTGTTTTTTAAAAAGCAAGCTATATTGGGGCACCTCACCCCTAATTTAGCCCAGTATTTTGAGCATTATGCTCGTAACTTTCTTTTAAAGAAAAACAGTTAAACGTTAATGTCGTCAATGGGTGCATTTAACCTCAATATCTAACTTGTAATGTTTCTAGGTAATTGCGGCACTTGAAACACACATTTGTAATATATTCAAAGTCATGCTGCTAAAAACACTACCCAATTTACCTTCAATGTATGCATTGTTAGTTTTACATATACTGTGTATAATTTTCATGCTGTTTACCTATCCATCTACCTGTCTGTGCGTGAAAATCTGTGTGAATGGCATCCCCTGCTCAAAAGCCTGAGGGGCTGTGTGTCTAATTAAATGCAATTACACGCTAAGCGCATAAAGATTAATTACAGCTAATTAGTAACCTCAACAGAATGACACCTGGCAGATGACTACAAATAAAAACCATTAGGCCAAAGTTAGATGGGAAGCCAAACAAGCCTACACGTGTACTTATAATAAAACACACATCCTGTACCATTATCTAACACATTCAACTAAACACAACCACTAAGCCACTCTCAAAGGGGCAAACTTATTTAAGCCCTTGCATGCTATACGAGGTATGATGTAGACGTCATTCAAACTTTTTTCGGCCGATTTCAATAGATCTTTTTCAATAAATGGTTTTCCATTTTCGCCAGTTCATTTAGCCACGATTGTGTAATGTAGAGACCACTGGGGGCATTTTTTGTCAGATATCTTTCTATCGTTTGGGTTACGCATGAGCGTTGTTTGTGGTGGGGTGGTGGGGTGGTCGTGCCCGCGTCCCTCGTTGCAAGTGGAGTTGTTACAGACCGTGCCAGTGGCGCAAGCTCTGGGGGCCCCGGAGTGACTGAAATGGTTAATGGCAAAGTGTGGGCCAAGCCAGACCCGGTCTTGAGGCTGCTTCAGCACGCGGAGAGCACAATCCATTAAAGTCACGTGGCTGGCGGGCAATTACAAACAGCTGACTGGGGAAGCAGCGGGACGAAAAGGGTTTTTCGCGCTTGACCACACATCAAAACAGGAGGAATATGTAAATTTACTGCGGTAATTAGAAACTGTGTTCCCGTGATATCATCCATGAAACAGATTTATTACATCTGTCTTGCGCGGCGCGGTAATCGAGTTAGGATGACTCGCGCCGCACGGAAGGCGGAGATGAATGCCGTTCCATTGATCTCCCTGCCGTAAAAAGGCCTGGCTGTAGAAGCGGGAGACGGCGACACAAGGAATATAAATACCAATCGCGCTCAGAAATTTCATGCTTGTTTAATTTTACATATGCTGATAAAGTGCAGAGTAGAGAGTACAAAAATGTTTCCTCTGTACTTTTTCAGACCACAGTTAAGTGTTTCCCCCCCTCCCCCCCTGTCCCTCATGCGACGAGCCTCTGACCCCTGCACGAAACTACTTCCATACACTTGTGTGAGAATGATCTTTCATGTTCAGCACGGAACAAAAAAAAGCCCCTTTGCCTGAATTGTCTCCTTTACACACAAATAGTATTACTTCCATAGTACTTACACTGCCAATAATTACATTGCACTGGAAGTGCTGTGGCAATTAAGGAATCATTTGTACATTTTACATTTGCTGTGAACCTTAGCCATAATGTTTTTGTTTGAATACATTATTTGCGCCTCACAATTATAATTTGTGTTAAACAACCTAGGATTTGTGATAATTGTTTATTTACGTAACTTGTACGGCAACAAAGAAAAGGTAATTCTGAATAGAACACATTGCTCCTGTATTGACTTGAAGCCTGATGTAGGTCATGAGAATTAGTGCATTGATGTAAACAGAATGGCGTAGACTCCGGGTTGTATGTTAGTAATGCGGGTTCAATGTGAATACAGTCGAGTAAGTGCAATAAAATATTTTTTACTGAATATACAAAGTTAGGTTTCTCAAGAAGACATTTTTAAAAATGTTCTACAGTGTTAATACAGGTACTTAGACATACCGTACTGTATATCACAAGATGAAATCCTCTAAGAATGTTAAATGGCATCGTCATTAGTTTTTTTTAAAAATTGTTAATGATATGTTGAATTTAGTCTCGCTTTATACTTTCATTAAATAAAAATGAAAAACCCTACTTGAGAAAATGTGAGAATTTAATATTTGTATACAATTAAAATGTGCTTGTAAAAGGGATATATTCTAGAGCTTAATCATGTGTTTATTTCTTGCTTTGTACTTATGTTTGTGTTTCATTTTACAGTTTACATTCGCTCAGCAGAAAAACTGATGGGCCCATAATCAGTTTTCACCGATATTTTAGGCCTTTGATCAGAACTTATCTCGCTTTGCACCCTGATCTGCCGAGATCTCTCCCTCAATCTTTCTCTCCACACGCCTTCTATCATATCTAAGCACCGCCGTTACCCACGTGCAAGCTCTCTCTCTCACATAAACTCTGCCTTACAGAACTTCCACATTGGTGACATCCCAACTGTAACAAACTTAAAATAATGGTCATGCACAATACAAGCTAATTTCACGCACTGACCGACCGCACACCCTCTACCGTTGCTGTCCTCCCATGAAGCCAGATGAAGCTGTTTCCAGCCTGTGCTGGTGCTTTATTGTATTCCAACTCGAGGCCTTTTCCATCCCCACACAATATCACTACCCACAACCCACCTTTGTGTCAATTAAATCCATTTCAACTTGTTCCACCAGCCTAACAGCTTAGGATTCTCAGGATTCAGTGGATTTTACCCCATGTTGTCAGAAAGATCAGCCTTCCCAACACAAGACCAATGCAACCGAACCCTTGTCCTTTACTGATGCGTGCACTATTCCACTTCGGAATTATAACTGTGCACACTGAAATAAATTGCAATGTTACAATGCTGACACTGACGTTAAACTTGGTGAACAATAGCATGCCACACTATACCGGAGGACGCTTAATAGTTGTCCCGATAACTAAGATGCACATCTGTTTGCCCTTCACCCATATCCACCTTGCAGTGCTTTTTGCCTCCTCACACACACACACAATTAGATTGTGTTTAGTAGACATTTAAATCAATGTTGCAATCTTTTCAATTATTCCTCTTTGTTGTGGCATTAAAGGTGGTTTTAATGTGAATTTCTGATTATTTCACTAGTGCCCATATCGTATTTACAATTTACAGTCCTATGGTAATCCACTGGGTAAAGGCCGTGGAATGCCATGTACAGCATTTATGTGAAATACATTGTACTGCAACATACTGTTGGAAGCTTAAACCTAATAGCGTATATAATAATTCTCCCAATGCGTCTCAAAGCATATGGAGATGTAATGGTGTCTTTTTAGTTTCTAATTACTGTAATGCAACATTCATTAGCCAAGCTGTTCTGAGGAATTAAACTGAGACTTTAACCATTTGGTTCAGCACCATGGCCAGATCCGTGGCACTTCGTGGTGGAGGAAAGCAGTGTTGAGCAATAACCCCGTCACATCCCAGCCTCCGTTGTCTAGATTGATAGCAGCCGTAGCGCCGCTCTCCATTAAGCGCAGCACCGGTGGAGATATTGTTAATAAAGTTATTTAAGACACACTCGAATGGTTTGGCCGTTATGCCAAATGAAGTGCGGCTGGGCTGAATTTACTTTACTAGAGCGGCGTGAAATTAACAGCACTTCAGGCTTTTGACCTTCGCCCCCCCTCCCGCCCAGATGAGAGAGGGAAATTTCCAGGCGCTTGCACACAGAGGCATGGCTGGCGGAGCTGGAGCGTGTGTGTTGCAGGAAAGCAGCCACATTGTCGCTACACAATCATGTTTTGGTTATTTTGAGCCTTGTAAAAATGTATAATTACACCTTGTAAAATTGCAAGCAAACCCGTAGTTAATAAAAACAATTTCATGGATAAGCCATTGCTTATGTTCAGACAATCTCTCATTCATGTTTGCAAAATGTGAATGTTATCCTTTTGCGTTTAAGCAGAACTAAATATTTATCATTTTATGGCCATTGTAAGTCGGTTGAGGATTGTAATTTGTAATGACAGCTTTTTGATGATATTTTTATTGCTAATATTTTTTTTACACAAGGCACATAAATTAGTTAAGCTGCAGGCAAGATAACAGTATTCTTAATTTAAATTAGAAATACCTTTTTACGCTGTAAATGGTTTGCTGTAATGTAAAAGATAATTAATTTCCAAATTACACAGACATTTTAAATAAATATTTTAGGAATACATCAAAAGTATTCAAAGGAAAAAACATTCACTGTTACAGGTTTTCTTTTTTTCAGAATAAGCTGATCATTGTACCAGTAATATGTTTTAGTCTGCGATGCGTAATACATATGCCTGCTTGCCAGGGCGAGTTACCATGAAATAAGACAATCCGCGTTGGGACGTGTGTCTCTGGCTTCACTGAGCTCGCGCTTGCTGAGTTGGGAGCCCTCATTTCTCCCTGCGCCAACCTTAAACCATCACTCCACGTACACGTGGGAGAGCTAACGTGCGCGCAAGTGCACGCGCACTCTCGGTGCATGGACACCCACGCGAAACCTCAGACGGTCGAGCGAGGCACACGCGCGTACACATGCGTACGTTTCGCGACGCCCTCCTGTCTGGCTGTCTAGCAGATGTGCACATGCTGGCAGATGGTGCTGACCTGTGGCGGTTGCTGCATGGGGTGCAGAGTTGGCAGCGGTCCATCCGTGTCAGACAAAAACCGCTGCATGCAAATTATGCAGCCTGTGGGCCTTTAAGGAAAGAGCAGCTGCTTCTTAGTTTAGCATTGTGCATCGGGTAGCTATATATAAACCAACAAATACTGCATATGGCTTTTATTAAGAGTTAAAAATAGTCTTAATGCTCTAAATAAGGGGGAGAAGAAAAAACAAAGCGCTTCACATTTTTAGATGCAATGCTTCATCGTAACAGCGTCTATGGGGTAAAATGTTTAGCCCGATTATACTATATATGTACCATCACGATGTCTCCGTTTTGGTTGTTGCATAACGTCCCTCTTATAACTGCCCTGCCATAAGTTTTCTTCGATGGTTCTTGTGTGAGGAGTCCTAGTAGAATGATATATTACTTGTGCATGGCAATGGATACGATGGAACTAACATAGGGATGATTCGGTTCTACAATATTTCTAACAGCTGATAGCTGTTAGCAAATATTGCTCTTTATGACTTTTCCGCTTCAGTGTTTTATCGACAGTCAGAAGAAATATTGTGCTGAATGCCCCACTGTAAGCATACATACATTATATACAAACTACAACACACACATGCAGCCATATCCATAAAAGTGTCATGAAACTCGAGTTTATATCTATTTTAGCATTTATTTTTCAAGAGGCAAAAGCTCCAAAAGCAAGTCTGTTGACATGTCCAGTTTCTGCTGATTTGATTTCTACTGCTGCTGCTGCAAGGTCTTGACAGTGGTTAAGAAGCACATCACAGCCACGTTTCATCTTTGCCCAGCTCTGGTGGTGAAGGGAATTGTAGTGGGACCTAGCAACTGGGGGGCACAGATTTACTGCAACGGGGGAGCTGGGATCCAGGCTCCTGCTGGTTTGATTTGGACGTTGATGGTGAACGGCAGTCTGTCAGCTAAAAAAAGGCAGGGGGCTGGCTGAAAAGGGCACACTACTAAGCCTTTTGCTTTCTATTTATATGAAACTAAAACCAACCATTTTTGTTGCTTATTGAAACCTTCCTTTGACTTAACTTTTCTTTACATTACTTTGATTGAAATTCTTAAATTAAAAAAATACCTATGACATAGTGTTTTTATTGATCTGAAAAAATTCAGCCAAAGAAAACATGGAGATTGGTAATGCATTTAGTTGCCACTTGAAGTATCTTTATTCATGCTTTCGTGAACACCGCAAGCGTTTTTCTGTCCCTGTTTGCCTGCGCCTTGACTCACTCAGGGGAACTACCGGATCCTGAAGCTGCTACTAAGCCGCCGAGCTAGTCTGCTACAAAAGGACCTGGAGGGCATGACCGGCCTCCACCTGGCAACACGGCACGAGACCCCCAGATGCCTTGCTCTCCTCCTCAAGCACACAGAGCCTGGTGAGGTGGATGTGCAGGACAACCAGAAGGTAACGGCTTCCATGGACTCATGTCAGCCCTTCACCCGTGATGCTTCCCCTATTTGGTAACATATGTAGCCACACCTGATCTTCCACAGGCATGTCTAGGTCAAACAAATCAAGATTCAAATCAAGAATGTCTAGGTCAAGTCGAATTCAGAGCACTTCCATTCCGAAAATGACTATTGGTGGCCCTGAACCAGTTATGCACATTCCACCTTCATATGGCGGTGGCTAGTGTCTCGACTGAAGAGCCGCGCTCAATGTCACGCAAAGGGGCGCTCACTTTATTGACCCTGAAGGGTTGTTGGCCTGAGTTGTCTGCCGAGCACAAATGACTTCGTGTAACAGAAATAAAATCGCTGCAAATGGTAGCCATACATCATTGGAATAACGAGTATTTAGAAGCAATGCTCATTTTTAATACAGAGACTATTTGTCTTAGAGCTAAGTAGAATTGTAGAAAATTATTTGTTTACGGTCAGCGCTTTCTATGTTTTGATTTAGTCACACAGCCTTTCCCTAAAAGTAAATTGTATAACAGCATCCTCCATATATTTAATGGTGATTATTTTCTTTACGCAAAGGTATATTTAAATGTGCCACTATTTTATTTCACGCAGGTTTACGCCATTCCTTTAGCCATTAAGGCGTTTTTAATTTGTCAGCGGGATAAAAAAAACAAGTTTTTATTGTTTTCAAGATTCACGGGCATAATTACGGCACGTCGCGCACAGGCAATGGTTGCGCGTGCACGCGTGCACACGCGTGCTTGTGCGCGCACGGTGCGGTGGGGAGGGGGCTCGATTTTGGCCCTGCGCGCAGGTGTGGAGCGCAGAGCGCCTCCGCCTCCCTCGGACCGCGTGGCTGGGCACGGCCGGGCGCGCCTCGGCGCGGTCGGCGGGCCCTGGCGAGCCATCCGAGTGAATAATTGCCAGCGCTGTAACGCGCCTCTAATTTCACAGATACGGCCGCAGGGACGTCTCGGGCAGCGCGCCGCGACTGCACAACGTGTAATTAATAACTGCTTCTGTTGCGTGCTGCGGCAAACCTATTCCGAGTTAAGCAGATAATGGGCCGAACGCGGTGAAATGTCCGTAGATACAAACGTGTAATTACCGCCGACATATAATGAGCTTTTCAATATTTACTTTCCCACTGAAAGGAATAGCAATCATCTGGAGCAGAGTTGCAGCTGCTGAATTGCTTAGCGTGATTTGCGTTGTTCTTTTAGTTTTCAGTGGATGATTTTTAAATATGCAGCTCCTTTCAAATGATGTCTGATATGTATTAAATGCTGTATTTGTGGGGTTTGCATCACATTTTTTTTTTCCAAAATATTTTCTTTGAAACTGTATTTCATTGTACGTTTGTAAAATTTCTTGTACCTTCCGCACATATAACATGTGTTAAATAAGTGGAAAGAAACTATGCTTTCCAAAAAAAGAAACAGTCCATTTTTTTCAGAACCAGATGTTCTTGAATATATGTTTATACACATACGTAAATAATCTATATTACATCCACTAGTATTGAACTTACCAACTCTCTTATTTATAACATACTTCATCTATATTAGTGTAGTTTTTTTTTGCAAGACTGGTTAACTTCAGGGCAGATATTTCAATTCTAGTGGTTTTATTTCAAATATGACTTGTGACAACGGACCTAATTTGTGCCCTCGTTCTTTCTTAACTAAGGAGGTGAGCATGTTAAGCACAGCGGTTTCCATAAACCTCCAGTCTGCACCCCAAGGTCATGTTATGGGTATGTTGACATGCCCATGGATTGTCCTCCCACTCGCTGCCTTGCCCTCCCCCATTTTATTAGGGTTGAACTCTAAATATCCTTTGTGCGAGACCCACGGGACACATTCAGGAACGATGACCCTACTTGGGGTGTCCACAATTTGCAGACCAAGGTCTATTTAGACCGAAGAAAAATAATTGAGATATTGGTTACAGCAGTGATAAAGCGGGGCCTGTTGGCAGATTTTGAACAAGCCCCTTGTCTAAAAGGCATCAGCATTCATTATCAGGCAGTAAATTACAGGTCTGGGCTCCACAAAGGTGTGACAAGAGCAATACTAAGTCAAACATTTTACCCCTAGTACCCACAGAGGGCAGATTAGGAACCTTGACCTCCTCCTAATAGCAGAGGCAGCTGTAATCCTGTAGTCCAACCACATCAACCCCTGCCCTCGCCAGGCTCCCTGTTGACGGCCACCCCTGGGTGTTGTTGGGAGCTGATTCTCGATGGTAATCTATGCTCTAAAACGCCTCTGGTATAGGGGCATTATAACACTGGCTGTGACCAGAAAGATCCTCAATAAACAAGGGATTTTTTTTTTTTGCCCAGTGCCATAACTGCTAGAAATTGTGATTATTATTTGTATTCAATGAAGCTAACTATTAACAATACTAAAAGAGGAATTCTTTTCATTCTTAAAATGAACTAAATGTAACCATTTTAAACATACCACTCTTGTAGATAGTTGTTTCAACGTATTAATATGCAATACATTTTTTTTTTTTGCCACGGGAAGATTTAAAGTAATTTTCATGGAGCTGTATCTGGCAGAATTAAGAAAAAAAATTGCTTGCCAAAATGTCATAATGGTTATTTATTTACTTAATTCTAGATGTGGAATACGTGCCAGTTAATCCGCAAATAGCATTAGCGTTATTACAAAAACAACGGTCAAATTTCTTTACAAAGGGGTAATTTACGTGTGTTAGGCCAACATGTGAGCCAAATTAGTTATCAAGTATAATTTGTATTCTCCAAAAGGCTTCATTTATGTTGACAACGACCTCAACTTAACCTCAACTGAATTGATATCTTCCTGACTAAATTATGAGCATGAATTTTATGCTTATGAGCTATCTCAAATTGACATTTACAACTCAATCCACTGCTGGGTGAGGGCATTCTCAATGCCATGCTGCATGTCGTTGGGAATTATTTGACCAACAGTACTCCTGGAATGCATACCTGTATTGGTGCGGATAAATAGTTTGGCTTGAGATATGCCGTGAATATTGTAGTAACAATAAAAAAGCTGTTATCACCTCTTATTGAATTTGGATTTCATACAACACAGAATCATTTTACTTTGAAAATTACATTGTAGCTCACAATTAACTCACAAACTGCTACTTGCAAAAATCATTCTTCCCATGAGAATTATGTCTCTGAAATCTGATCATTAAGGGTCATTCCATTTGCTTTATGTTTTCTTAACAACAGATACTTGTCATGATACCCCAATTATGAAATGTTTGTGTTTCCGGGTCATATTTGATGTTTCACCTGGTGCACCGTCATTCCCCAGAAAACCTCTCTTCCTTGAATCCCTCTGACAAGCAATTCCCCTCCTTTGCGTGGACGTCCTATGCAAATAAAGACACTGGCACCCAAGCATCTGGTCATGGAATTTCCACCACTGGCTCAGCGACACTAACCGGGATGAGCCCTGCCCTCATTTTCTTATTTGAGCAGGCGGTACACAGACTTGACTTGACCTTTCGATGCTGGATTGGTGCCAGTTTGTATTGGTGTGCCAACCAATGTGTGCCCACAGAGGACAGCACTGCACTGGAGTGCCTACTACAATCACCCGGAGCATGTGCGGATGCTCATCAAGCACGACTCCAATATTGGCGTACCGGACAGTGAGGGCAAGATACCGCTGCACTGGGCAGCCAACAACAAGGATCCCTCGGCCGTCCACACTGTTCGTTGCCTGCTGGTGGGTGGCACGGAGGTGCAGATCATTGGAAGCAAGCACAGCTTGGAATGTTGATCAGTTATTGATGTGAAATATTCATTGTGAAAATTGTATCAAATATAATATAGCATAAATTTGGTTATGTTTGTGTTGCCATTTCAATATTTCTCATTAGAAGGAAATGACACCTGCCTTTCAGGCAGTGTTCTTTATCTTTATCATATAAAAGCTTGGAAAAAGTAGCATAGAATTAATACATCTGGTGTGATAATGTGACAATTATAATGTTTCCTTGTTCACAACAAAATGTTCAACAAATTTCAGTTTTATTATTGCTATATTACAATGAGCGCTGCCATAGTGCGATGATTCATACACATGCAGTGTACTAATTCAAAGACACTAGTAGGAGGCGTTATCCCTCTTGTTTATTCCGGCTCTCACAGCGATAGGGGATAACTCCATACTGGGTCGGGACAGCCAACATGGTTCCAGACCCACAGCTTGAAGAGGCGAAGACCACCACGACAGCAGCATGACGAGTTCCATTCCCGATGACAGCCCCGACTGTGAGTCGGAGCTCGTCTTTTATTCTCCCCAGCGTGACCAGGCTCCGCCCTCGGCCACGCACCCTTCTGGATCCCCCAGATGGCTCCGGGCTTGGCCCACGGGTCCAACTGGTAGAACGGGCTGCTACCTCTAATTCCATTGTCTACCAATCTCCCATTGCCACGTGAAGAAAAACAGCCGTCCTGGCTGACCTTTATACGTCACATAGCGGGATGACGAACGCAACAATATCCACGCAATATTCGCAATGCATGGCAACAATCCAGCCCCCAAAATAACAGCAACCGAACGACGGGTAGGGGCGGTCATCTGAACCGAACCGTTGCCGGCCCCTCATATGGGCCCGGCACGGGTCCTCGGGACCCCGGGGGTAACCCAAGGATGGCTCAATGGGCACGGTCCCTCCCGGGATGAAGATGGAGGAAAAGAAGATGCGGGTGGCGGTCATCCCGTCCACCCCGATCCGCCTGTGGGCGGCGCCGCTGTTGGTTCCACGGGCGTCAGGCCCTGGGATCCTGCAGATGGAGGAACAGAGCCTTGCTGAGGCGTATCATCCGTAACCGTATGTCCGGCTCCGTCGGACACATCAATCACCCGGCCATCAGATGGTGGAGATGAAATGCCCTCATAAGGTGTAAAATAGGGCTTCAGTTGGGGCGGGTGCACATACCAAGCCTGCGACAAACCTGGATCCGCACACACTGCGACTTTCTCACCTAATTTACCTCCACCGGGCCTTGCCATGGCCTATGTAATTAGGAAACGTGCCTAGAGGCACCTGGGGGCAATGCAGCCATGCGCTCTCCCCAGGCTTCCACAGGTTTCCAGACTCCTTAAGCCCAGCCAGTTTTTCATTCGCAGCCCTGCCGCTTGGCCGAATTAGGACGCCTCCCGTGCTTCCATCAACCGCTTAAGGGTGAGGCTCATAAGTCCCGGCACAGTGGCTCTCTTCTTGCTCGGCTCAATATTTAACTGGGCTTCCATGGGGCGGTCACATTCTCTCCCGTACATTAAAAAAACAGGGAGAACCCGGTAGAGGCATGAGGGGCCATCCTATAGGCCACAGAACCCCCGGAAAGTGTAGGTCCCAATCGGACCTCATTGACTTGTTGGCACAACATGGACGTAAGAGTCCTCAGTAAATGCTCTACCATTCCGTCAGTCTGGGGATGGTAGGGCGAAGTTCGAATTTTCTTTATACCCAACAAGTCACATACCTCTTGCAACAATTTTGAAGAAAAATTTCGACCTTGGTCCATAAGGAGATGTTCTGGAGCCCTTTATTCAACACGAACCATACAGGAACGCGTCCATAAAGGACGCCGCCGACTGATCCGGCAGGGTCTATGCCACCGGCCACCGCGACAGGTTCTCGACCCCTACCAGCAAAAATGTGTTTCCCCTCGGAGTGGTGGGAAATGGCCCGAGGATGTCGAGGGCAACGAGTTCATTGACACGGGACACCCCGATAGATTGCAATGGTGGTCGGGCCAGCCTCGGCGGGGCTTCCGGCGAGCACATTCCACAAACCTTTAAGCACGTTGTGGACGTCTTCCGACATCCCAGGCCAAAAGAAGTCACGCTTCAACGTCGATAATGTTTTCTGCACCCCTAGGTGCATCAGCCGCACATGGGCATCTCTCGTTACCCTACCCCACAGAGCAGTTGGCACAACGATACAGTACCGCTGTACCTCCGTATCCCAGCGCATTAGTAGCCCATCTCGGAGGACCACGGGGGATATACTCCCTGGACCATTCCTATCGCTGGCGCACCAACGTGGCACCGTATTTTCAGTAAGGAGGCGTCTTCCGCGGGGCGCCCCCATTCCTCGTGCGCAAGACCAATGGTGTTATCGTGTGCCACCTTCGCTACGGGCGGCGAAACATCCACCGACGCTACAATGACGCCCGGCTCCCCGCATCTACCTGCTTACAACGGCCGGCGCCCATAAAACACGCGCACTGGCTCTTCGGCGACAAAGCGTCCGCATTGCAGTGTGCCACCCTTTCCTATAGGTGACTTCGAATGGATAATCTTGCAAAATTTCCAACCGTCGCGAGAGTTGCGCAGACAGCTGGTCAACACAGCGGGTATTACAAAGCCACGTGGTCCATGCGTACCACGAACTGCCTGCCGTAGAGGTTCGGGCGGTTACTGCTGTACAAAGTGTACGATAGCCACCAACTCGCGGCGCGTGACTCAATAGCGCTGCTCTGCGGGGGACAGCACTTGGCTACCGTAAGCGACCACGCTCTCCACCTGCGACAAGACGGCGCCGATCCCGGTATCGCTTGCATCTGTATCCAACACAAATGGCAAGGTGAAATCGGGGTACCGGAGGGGGGGGGTGCGTTCACGAGGCCATCGTGCAGCATAACAAATGCAGCCTCCTCCTTCCCCCACTGAAACCTCTGGCCCTTTGCCGTGAGAGCGTGGAGCAGCCTTGCGGTCGTTGCAAACCCGGGCACGAAGCGGCGGTAATAAGACACCAACCCCACAAAACTGCGGACCTCGCCCACCGACGTGGGGGTCGGCCACTCATGCATGCACGCAGTCTTTACAGGGTCCGTGGCGATCCCAGACTCGCTAACAACGTGACCCAGGTAGCGAACCGACTTTTACAAGAAGTAACAAATTAGCCGCCCGTATTTTAACAAATACCACATGCAACCGCTGCAGATGTTGCTGGAACGTGTGACCAAAGACAATCAGTCATCCAAATAGATCAGACATGACTTCCATTGGAGCCTGAACCAGGGGCGGTTTCTTCATTAGGGCGATTGGGCGACACACCACCAATGTCATCAACCACAGAGTCACGCTAGCCGTCACTGTGCCTCTGGATATAGTCCAATCAGCGTCATGTCACGTTCTGTGGAGTACCGCCTCTTTTTGGGCGATTTCCCTCCAGCTGAGAATCGCCCCGAGTGGCCCCATAGACTTACATTCAAAGATGTTTTTTTTTGAACGGGGCGCTGCAATGCATTCTCTATGGCTTCCGGGAGGGCTCGCCCTAACGTGCTTACGTCATCATACGTGCTTACGTCATAATACGTAAGCACGTTTCATCCAACAATATAATTTGTTGCCACCTAGTGGAATCTTTAATAAAATAAACTTGAGTGGTTTGTTTTAATAGTGAGTATAGAAACAAACAAGATGTATTGTAAGAGTCACTTTATTTTTCATTAATATTAAAGAAGTGAAGTTGCCTTTACATGCTTAAGCTGTTAATTTATCCATTGCATGGGTGGACCCTATCCTTATCAATCATCCAGACATTTGCCCCCCCTGAAAGATTTTGCAGGAGCCGCCACTGGCCTGGACAGTACCAACTCCATAAGTCGCTGGAACGTGGTCGGAGCTGAGTGAAGCCCCATCGGAAGCACGTCAAATTGAAACATCCCTTGCGGTGTCCGGAATGCGGTTTTAGGTTTTGAACTTTCACCCAGGGGCAACTGTTAAAACCCCGACAATAGATCCAGGGTGGAGAAAAACCGCGCCCCCCGACAGGGCATCCAACGAATCGTCCATCCATGGGAGCGGATACGAGTCCGACTTTATTTAATTTCCGAAAATCCACACAAAAACCGCAAACTCCCATCAGCAGCTCCATGATGCGCGCGCTGAGTGCCTGCAGCACTCATCGCCCTTCACCCACTGCCCCGCCGGGACCACCTCTCCGGGACCCCCCACTGGGGTCCCGGCTGCCTGGAATCCTCCTCGCCGTCGCCCTCTTTGCTCGAGGATGTGCTGATGAAAGCAATCCTCTTCGTGGCTGTTGACATAGCCTATCTCCCCCCACCGGGATTCGAAGGGAAAGGGAAAAAAAAAAATTCCTAACAACCCTACAAAAAAATTTCGTTAACACTTCTGACACAAAATGTAGTGTACTAATTCAGAGACACAAGTAGGAGGCATTATCCCTCTTGTTTATTCAAGCTCTCACAGCCATAGGGGATAACTCCATACTGGGTCGGGACAGCCAACATGCTTCCAGACCCACAGCTTGAAGAGGCGAAGACCACGACAACAGCAGCATGACGAGTTCCATTCCCGAAGGCAGCCGCCCCGACTGTGAGTCGGAGCTCGCCTTTTATTCTCCCCAGCGTGTCCAGGCTCCGCCCTCGGCCACGCATCCTTCTGAATCCCCCAGATGGCTCCGGGCTTGGCCTACGGGTTCAACTGGTAGAACGGGCTGCTACCCCTAATTCCATTGTTTACCAATCTCCCAGCGCCACGCTTTACAGTGACTCATTCAATGTCACTACACACAGGACTTGCAATATAGAGGTCACCGGTTCAAACTCTCAGTATGACATTTGACACAATGGGAAAGTTTCTTAAAACTCCTGCCCCCCCCCCGCCCCTCTGTCCACATAGCAGGATAAATAGGTCCACCACAGTGGATCAGCAGATCGTGTCTGGTGTGGTAAAGTGTGGGTACTCCCACCTTTTCCAAGATATCTGGCCAGTGTAGAACAGTCGGCCAAAATAATCACTATATTGGGGCTCACTAGAACTCCTTCTAGTGAAGGCTGCACCTTTACCTTTGTGCGGTGATATCTAAAACAAACCACTATTCAAAGCATTGTTTTGTGCGTGTCTCCGCAAAAGTTGTTTTGTTTAGTTCTGTAATATTTCCCAGGAAGCCACGCCGACCGATTCCATCCTCAACTGGCAGGACTACGAGGGACGCACGCCCCTCCACTTCGCCGTGGCTGATGGCAACGAGGCAGTGGTGGACATCCTGACATCGCCGCAAGTCTGCAACGTCATGGCCTACGACAACCTCTTCCGCACCTCGCTGCACTGGGCCGCGCTGCTCGGTAGTTCAGCTCACTCGGGCATCCCTCTCCCCACACACCCCACACACACCAAGCCTCCCCATGTGTTCCCCAGGCAATTCCCCATGGCTTTGCAGCCAAGACTGTCATTATCTCTAGGTGGATGTGTGGATCTGAAGACTGGCCGAATAGAGTACAGTAATGTAGTTGGTTTGTGTGTCTCAGTTACGTCACACATAAAGTGGTTTATGCTTATTGTTATGACTATTCTAGATTATCACTTTGTTTATATGTGTGTATTTTTGTATGTGCATGTGATTAGTTTATGTTTGCTGTATGTGTAGCTCTGTGATGTGTTTTTAGGCTGTACCGATGTGTTTTCTTCAGAATTCAGTTCAGAATTCAGTTCCTGAAGAAGCTTCCAACACGTGGAGCAAAGCGTCCGAAGCCATACGAACAACACGTGGAACAGCCCAAAAACGCATCCGAGAGCTATACAGCACAACACATACACCTACGCAATAGTATTCTATACATGGGTGTGTCGATATGCTGCTGTGTACGTGTATTCGTACTTATATAATTTAACTTAAACATGGAAGCGTTTGCACGCTAGTTGTTGCCTATCATATGATGGATGTTAACTGAACGTGTTTTGCAAACATTGAAGGTTTTTTGCTGAAGTGTAAATCACATCCGCAAAAAAACACAACATGGCAAGCATACACACATCTGAAAAACTTACTTGAAAATAGTGGGATTTAAAACAGTTGGGAATTTTTTCCCAGCGTATTTTTCTGGAGAGTTATGTTTGACCCTTTGTTGGAATACATTTCACCAATGCGGTCATTTAAAATCTGTTTCAGTTCCTTCAAATTTCAAGACAAATATAAGTACACAGGTAGTTTCTGACAAACCATGCTGTGTACATGATTGTGTTTTTTTAAACGAAGAGAATGAGAATTCGTCGGTGAAATTGCTAAACAAGAGCCGCAAGGTAACAAATAAATAAATAAACAAGTCACATTTGGTAAGAAAGCTCTTAATGCCACTCTCTAAGCTGTGGGAGAGCCCTCCTTCTCAGCGGCATTAATCGAAGGGTATAAAACCTGCGTGGCCCCCGGTTGGGAGGTTAATGGCTGGAGCTGAACGGGGCTGTAAATACCAAGCCGATCCTGTGCTACCCTGGGTCAATATCGGTTAACGAGGGAGGGTGGGTGGCCAGTCAAGTGGGGGGGGGGGGGGGAAGTGCTGTGAAGGGTTTTTTTTTAGAGAGTTGAAATCTGCTTCACGTGCTTGTGGGCTGCTCTGACAATGTCCAGCTGCCTCGGTCAATTGTGCTGATGAACGCTACCGAGTCATTTTCTTACAAATGGTTTTCGGAGAGGAAAATTGTGATTATTGATTGTTTTTGTTATTTCCGTACAACATGATGTATGTGGGTTTGCACATTTCCACTGTGAGGGTGCTTTTGTTGCATATGCTTTGTACATATACTGTAGTTTATTTTAATGGTTACCTTTTTATAATATGCTTAAAAATCTACTATAGTGTATGCAAGTATATGTAAGTACAACAATGACGATCACTAGAAGGCAGATCGAATCCTGCAATTTCATATTCTTATTTGTAATTCCACCCATAATCCTAATACTTGGAATGACCACCAACAATCTAGTTGTTTAAAGACAAGACTTTCTATCACGTCCTGCTATAGTTATGAATACTGATTACGTAGCCACGCATGTAGGTGCAGTTTGCACATTTATCAGCCTGCAAAGCTAACGGACAGAACAAAGCAAAAACAGACACTGTGTGTATGAACGGAGTGTCACGACATGCTGCTTTTCAGGTCACGCTAAAATAGTTCACCTACTGCTGGAGAGGAACTCCTCTGGCACCATTCCCTCAGACAGCCAGGGAGCCACGCCCCTGCACTACGCTGCTCAGAGCAACCATGCGGTGAGCGCACCTGTTCCAAGGCTTGCATGTCTCCTTTCTAACTCACCCGTGCTTTTTGTTTCTCCAGCTATTGAAAGTTTTGTCACGTAATGTTCTTTTTCAATCCTTTCATTTTAACAAACCGTAATCTTCTCATAAGCACGGTAACATTTAGCATGCATAGAAATGCTTAAGTAAAGGTTGTGTTGTTGTTCTTTTTTTTCCTTTCCAAACATTTCTTGGCATGATTTTATTGGACAGGCAAGCGTATTATGCGCTCGGGATTTTTTTTTTTACAGCTGTCACGGTCAGCTCATTAAGTTTATTGAATAAGGTAGCATTGACACACGATGTTCATAGTGATGCTGAAGGAGGGCGGAAAAAAGTACATTTTCGTTAATCCGGCAGGAAACGGTGGAAGTGTTCCTTTCGCACCCATCGGTGCACGACGAACCTGACCTGGAGCGCCGCACGGCGTTCATGTGGGCGGCTGGCAAAGGCAGCGATGCCGTCGTGAGCACCATGCTGCGCCTCATTTCCAACCTCGACGTCAACCTCGCCGACAAGTACGGCGGCACTGGTAGGGCCCTCCTGCCCGCACGTGAGTGGCCACATGCCCACTGCGGCACCCGTGACAGGTGGCCGTCTAGGTGCTTTCATAGGAGGTGCACCTCGATTTCCTGCTGTTTGATTGTCATAGGATTTGCATTCTACAGAGAAAGTATTTTGCAAGCACTTCAGTGGGTACATCGGCAGCATTTAAAGTTAACTTGGAATATTTTGGAATTATATGAAATGCATTTTCATTCCAAAATGCAGATCAATGTGTTACAGATTTGATGCTGCCTTATCTCTTAATAGTTTTGGTTCTTCCAGTCGGAAAGTAATACCCTGTCATCTAATATGACTATAGGTTTGTCATATCGTGAGCTGCCATACTGTTATGTTGCTTACAGAAAATGTGAAATAATCTTGTAATGTCAGCCATACGGCATGACAACTTTGTGCCCGATGTCACTGTGCTCATGACTCACAGTCTTGGAATAATTCCATAAAGAAAAGCCACCGTGACAGACAAATTGAATCTGACCATCCACTGAAATGCCCTGTGTCTTGACATGTGGCACCAGACATGACATGCATTAAGACATCGTTTTCCATCACAATCCATAAAGGTTATATACGCATGTGTGTGTGTGTGTGTAAACCTGGATCACACTGACCACAAGACATGTTACACGGATAGCTTTAACCTTTACACGTGTCAAAACTTGTCTCGCACACATCTGCTATCCACACAAGAGGCAAGTGCTTTTTTAGGATATTTAAAAGAAGGTGGAAAAGTTTAAAGATGAGTTCACTTTTTATATGAATGTGTATTAACACTTGTGAAATTTGCATTAACAGGACTGTGCGATGGCCTTATATCTCATAGTGCCAAGCACACAGGCAGATTAGCTTACAAACCAGTCTTTGAGAAGTTTTAGATGTTTGATTAAACTCTCCCAGTGAGCGATTCCACTGGCTTTATTAAACCTGCACTGTCTGCTGGCATCTCACACTTTCTTAACCTTTCCCAGTAACCATTTCCACTTTGTCTATAAAACCTTATTTTGAAATCCAATATAGTATCCAGTATAGTGTACATTGGATGTTTTTGTTATAGATAAAAATAAGACATTGTTTGTATTGTAAAAAAAAAATACTGTTTGAAAAGCACAGAAAAATAAAATTGTAATTCCAAAAATTAAGGTTTTTTAGCAAAAGTTTATTGTATTCTTATTCAATAATTGAATGCTATATCACTCAGGTTTAAAAGTGATGTGATTGTACAACACTAATACCTGGGGAATAAACTCGATTGTTGAACATAAAGAACTCTCTAAAAATACACAATATAAAGACTGCTACTAATATATACTTAATTAAGTAGTTGTAACGCAATTACAACATCATGTGCTATGTTTCATACGTTTTACTTAAATTGCAAATTAATTTTTAAGGATTGGGTTAAGTGCTTTACATATACCCAGTGGTCATGATCATACAAACACCTGGAAACATAAATTCAATATCAGAATTGCATTTGTAATTGTATCGTGGTTGTACGATTACACTGGTTTGCCTGTTAGCTACAAGGATATTTCTAGACATAATTCAGTCAAATTACTGTTACAATTTTGCACTGTGTCTTTTCGTGTTTTTGCCGTCGTGACTTTCTCATCGTGTGTGTCAGCTGTCATAACAGCATCATCACGCATGTCGAGCATCACTCTGGGCCATGAGGCTTGCGTGCAGCCATTTGGATAGAGAAATAGCCATCACACCCGTGGGCATGTGTACAGCCCCCAGTGCTGGAAAAGAATCCCTGATATTCTATTAGCATTGTATATCAGTCGCACATGCATAAACAATAAATAGAATGACTTTAACGGTCAAGCTTACATATATATATATTTTTCTCTCCCATTTGAATCCGTTGGTTTAAAATAGCAAGATCATTTGTGTAATTATTTTGAAATCATGAGGTGCACTTATTCATCACCAAACAATGCTCCACATGAGCCTTAGCTGCATCGTTAGGAGGCTTGAAATGTCCTGATTATGATGTTTATAGCGACTGTGGCAAATCCCTGCCGTGGAAGGGGGAGGCCTGCAGATTGATTCCCTCACTGTACACCCCCGGGATAACTTAACACCGTAAGCGGATTAGCCACCTCACACCAAGTTACGGAAAACCTGCAGCAGCAGAACGCATTAGGTAATCTAAAAGCGGTTAGCCGGAGATGATTTGACCTGTAGTGTCGAGTACCATTACTTAGGGCGTCATCTTCCACTTAGTTGTCGCTACTCGTGTACAGCCGTGTAACAACAAAACTGCGTGTTTTTATGTTAGTCATGGTCAGTGGAAGATGGCAAGCCTTCACGCAGCCCACTCTGTTACGTGAAAAATCACGACGAACGCTATCAACGAACATCGATCATCGATCTCCTGGTCGCCAGAGCAACAACACAAGTGCCAAACCTGATTTTTAATGCGGTGTAAAACTGGTGGATTCAATTATTATATTTATGTCAAAGGCGCTGATTAATAAAGTATTTTTTTTTAAACCTGGAAGCAATGGATGGTCACCCCATTTCTTAAAACGTAATATCAAGTTTTTGTTGATACCACGTGCCACTCAGTATTAAAAAAGTTGAAGTGATTCCTGCTCAAACGAGCACTTTGAGGTGGTTGCCCATTTACAGTCCTGAGCCACATTCTTTATCGCAGGGGATAGTATTCATAGGGCAGCCGCCGTTCACTTCTCCACGAAGTGCTACTCATTTTATCGACTCCATAAGAATCAACCCCCAACCACGAATTTAACTCGCAACCTCACAATTGTGAGCTGCTCATTCTACCGCTGAGCCACCTGGCCGGATACTCAGTATTAGACCATGAGAAAATCGTTGAAAAATTACTTAACAGAAAATAAAAATGTTGAGGTGGGAAGAAACATCCCCCTTTGTTAAGCATTATTTAAAAGACCTGACTAAAAAACATGCCCGTCTTTGTATACTCGGTTACTTTACACATGGGCGATCATGCGGGCGATCGGTCGTTCGGCCATACTGTTGCATTTTAACCGGGTCCTCAAGCCCGTTTGCTTATCCAAACAGCGCTATTTGATCTGCCGAGCGACTCAGGTGGTGCATCTGCCTGCGGCGCGTCCATCCCGTCTGCGCGTTGAATCGCAGGGAGGCATCGTTTTGTTTACTGTTTGCGAGTCGCGACGAGGGTAAACCGCCCCGGCATGTTTGCAAGGTGCTACCCTTCCTCCCCTCCCCGTTTCTGCAGCGTTGCACGCGGCCGCGCTTTCCGGTCATGTGAGCACGGTGCGTCTGCTGCTGGCCCACGGGGCGCAGGTGGATGCAGCCAATGTCATGAAGCACACGCCGCTTTTCCGCGCCTGCGAGATGGGCCACAAGGAGGTTATCGAGACCCTGATTGAAGGTGCGTGTGCGCGTACGCACGCACGCGCGCCTGTACGTGTCTGCTCCACACTGCTCCCCACCCCAACCATCCACCCCCCTCCCGCCCCAAGTTAATTTACCCTCTCAGGGCATAGAATATTTATAAGTTAAATGATTAATGTGCTGTGTTTGGATTGTATTGCCTGTCAAGTTCATTCATAAAATTATATCCATTTTTTAAGCAAATTTACATTGCCTTGAGAAAACCACCTTACAAATGTTTTTCCATTAAGATACGCAGTATTGAAATGTAAACAGATCTGTACGTAATTCCTCATGATATAATTATCAATATTTATGCGTATTAAGTGCTGCGTAGCAAGATTAAAAATTCTGTCACATCCTCCTTATAGTGCAGACGGGAAGATGATCTCTTTCACACAATGCATGGTGCGCCATGTGCTTTTCCACAAAGGGGTGCATTTTCGGGCATATGTGTGCATATATCTATGAATTTGTATATATGTGTATACTGCGCGTTTGCATGTATGCGACTATGCTTTGTTCTTATATCTCTGCATGTGCGTCTGCTGTTATGGCCACGTGCATTTGTTTGCGTGCTCATGTGTCTGTGTTTATGCTCGCGCATGTATGTGAAATGCAAGGCGGTGCGCGGGTGGACTTGGTGGACCAGGATGGACACTCCCCTCTGCACTGGGCAGCTCTGGGTGGAAACGCAGACATCTGCCTTATCCTAATTCGGAATGGTATCCACCCAGACGTGCGGGACCATGTGCGCCGCACCCCGCTCCAGTGTGCGGCATACGGAGGCTATATCAACTGCATGGTTGTTCTGATGGACAGCCAGGCTGACCCTAACATACAGGACAAAGAGGTGCGTGTGTGAGCGTGGTGCTTCTGAGTGCGAGCGACATCAGCACCACAGCTGTGAGGTGTTAACAGTGCAGGCAAACGCCGCTGCTTCAACAACACTGCCTCACACGCACTGAACATTCTATTTCACAGGTTGTCCAAATTATCCAGACGATGCCACTTGTGTGAGATGCCAGCACTCTGGGACTTATCACGCAGCAGAAAAACGTTGTGCTCTTGACCGGGTTACAGAATCATAAATAGGGTTTCAGTGGTCATCTTGCATATTAACAATCACTGTCGTTTATGTGACATCCCAGTAATTGTCATGGAATATAATTAAAACAGTTGAATGTTATATGTGAGCTGTTGCAAGAGTCCAAGTGCTGTGGGATTTTGATTAATCTTCCATTGGATATCGTTATCAACAAGCAACAAAACTGCATCAGGGATTAAACAATGTTTATTTTCATCAAAATATTATAAACCATAAAAAATATATAGCCGATAAATGTTTGCTCATAATGATATATTAATACTATAAAAGGTGGCATCCACTGTTTTAAAAAATACACAGAACTAATTTTCCTCCAGGCGAGTGAAAATGTTGCGTTGAAATTCCGACTGCTCCCATCAGCAGATAGGTTAGCATGACAAAGAGATCATTCCATCGGGTGCTTGACAATTGTACTTGTATACAATTTAAGACACGATTAATTTAATTAATTGTACTTGGTCTAATTAAGCGGCGCTATGATTATTGGTCAACTTAAATTTCCCGTTTTCCATTGATTGAGCACAATCCAGGCTCACGCTGCAAAGTGAAAGACACATTCTAGGTTGCTCGTGATCATATTTGTATTGTTATAAAATGCATATATATATTATAAAATTGGTCTTTTAATAAAATACCACAATGCAATTCAGACCTTATAGAACAATTCAGT